GGCACAGCCTGGTGTCTCCTGCAGCTCTGTCCAGCTGCCCTGGAGAGGAACCAGCAGCATTTAAAGGTCTGCTTGCTTCTCCTCACGTGCTTTCGCTTTCGTGTGTCCCAGCTGATCGCTGCTGAAGTTATTTGCATTTTTAAGAGACTAGTTTTTCATAAAAAAATCCTACCCTCTCCTGTCTGATCCATTGTCCCTGGAAGTGTCCAAGGCCAGGTTGGACAGGGCTGGGTGACCCTGGGATAGTGAGAGGTGTCCCAGGTGTCCCTGCCTGGGCAGGAGGAATGTGAAGGTCACTTCAAACCACAGCAGTCTGTGGTTCCAGGGTTCTGTGATGCTGCACTTGGATTTGGGATGGTGAGGGACCCCAGAGCATGGAGCAATGGGAGGAAGGTGCAGCATCACCCCAGTCCCACGGCTCTGCTGTGCCACCSCTGCCCCACAGCTCCCTCCCAACCACCTGGAGAAGTCCCTGATGGGGACTGTTTTGCAAGTTCTGGAATATTTGAAATTCCTCTCGTTTTCAGGCATGGAAAGAGAAATGTTCAATTTTAACTGGGATGCCTAATGAAGATTTATTCCAGTCCTGCAAATCAAAAGCATGTGGGAATAGCCACTCTTCCTTGGGGTAACTGGGTTACTTTTTCATGACCACTAGACCTTAGATCTGCTCCTCATTTCCTTCCATACCCATAGAGGGCAAGAAATAGCCATACTTGGTCAGTGAGAAAATGAAATTAAATGCAAATAGACATGTACTGACTAAATCTGAGTTTCCCAAGGTTATTATTTCCCTAAATGCCAAGTCCCCGGGGTGAAGGAGGAGCAGCATCAGCCTGGGCCAGGGCTGGCAGCCCCATGCCATCAGTGCCCTGAGCCCTGAGGGTAAGGATGGGCACTGGGAGCACTGACAGGGCTGGAGACAGGGATCAACAGGCAGGGAAGGGGGTTAACCTGGCTCTATGGGCTGGGCTGGAACCGGCCAGCCCCACCCCTGCCAGGCAGGGACACCTTCCATCATCCCAGTCTGCTCCAAACCCCATCCAGCCTGGCCTTGGGCACTGCCAGGGATCCAGGAACAGCCACAGCTGCTCTGGCACCCTGTGCCAGGGCTCCCACCCTCACAGGGAACAATCCCTGCCCAATATCCCATTTATCCCTGCCCTATCAGTATGAAGCCATTCCCCATGTCCTTCCCCCACCTCAGATCTGCAGTACAGATCCATGCTGGAAACACAGTGCYTTCTGCTTCATGCTTTGACCTGTTTGCTAAGGAAGATGTTTTCTGCACGAGCAGGATAAAGACACCTGAAAGGACACAGGAACCTGACAGGACACAGGAACCCAGCCCTGCTCTGATCACAAATCCCCACCCGGGCTTTGGTGGCCCTGGTCYCCAGGCGGCCACAGCCGCAGTGACAGCTGCTGGCACGGGACAGCAATCCCGCTGACTCACCCAGTACAACTCCTGCCCAGAGCGCTTTTTCCATAAAAATAAACCCAGCCCTAATAAATAAATGCATTCCCATTGTAAAAGCCTGATTGGTGGCTGGGAAGGAAGAGCCACCCTGCAGCAAAACAGTTTCCCTGTGGATGGGAGACTCCAGGGAAAGCAGGTCAGAGGGAGCCCATTTCCCCGGGGAGGGGACAGGGGAGCAGTGCTCAGGGGGAAGGAGCTGAGCCCAGCACAGGCACTGCTGTGACAGAGCTGGGAGAGAGCCCCACTCGCTCACGAGGGGATTTGGGAGCTGGCACAGCTCCTGGCAGAGCAGAGCTGGGGGGTACACGAGCACTGAGCAGGGAGCCAAGGGCTTTTGTAAACAGAAGCTCAAACAAACATCTCTCATTTCACAGATGGTGCTCACAATTTACAGCTGGCACACTTRAAGGCCACCTTGGACACGCTGGTGCTCGTGGCCGCACGTGAACCTCAATGTCTGCACTGCAAGGGGCTCCTGCTGGAACCACAGGAGTTACTTCCACAGGAACATCAGCAGGATTCCTTACAGGAAGGAAGAWCATCAGAATGACCCAGCTCCTTTGCCTGCAGCTCCACGGTCTGGGTGAGCACAGCTCCCAGCTCAGAAGCCAAAGTGCAGGAGAGCCACGGCCCTGCTCCACAGCTACAAACTGCACAAAACTCTGAACAACACAAGAAAAACACCCAAAGTGCTGAAGCAGAGCTCAGGGATGGCTCTCACAGCACCACAGAGAAACTGGCAGCGTTTGAAGGTGCACAAAACCCAAGGCACCTGCAGAGCCTCACCACGGCCACAGATCCCAAATGTGGGCTCGGTGGTGCCAGGGGAGAACCAGAGTCCCCGGAATGGCAGCAGCAGAGTGCCCCAGTTTGTCCAGGACAGAGTGCCCATCTGCCCCAGGACACAGTGCCCATCTGCCTCAGGACACAGTGCCCGGCTCCCCAGGCCGCATGCAAAGCCCACAGTTTCTCAGCTGCCTGCACAAACAAAGTGTCTTTATGGAGCCATTATCGGGGCAGCCCCGTGGAGCAGCGGGGCCRGAGCTGCTGGACACTGGCACCATTCACACAGGCTGACCCAGGGCAGGGCTGGGCACAGACTGGCAGCTCTCCTCGCCCTCCTCATCCTCACCACTGCAAGCCCAATCCCCAGTGAGGGCAGAGCCCCATGGAGCTCTCAGAACCACGGGCACAGCCCCTGCTCCTGGGCACCCACAGTGACACCCACACACACTCAGAATAAAACCATTTCTCATTTGGCTTCATTTCTCATTGGAAGATTGGATTAAAGATGTTTGATAGAAATATTGGGGGTCACACAGATTATTTGTCTTGTGGCTTAGCCCCCTTCAGATCCATTTTTAAACCTTCAGCTCAACACAGACCAAAACCCTGCACATTCCTGCAWGTGCAGAAATGATCTCACAATCCCTGTGTGGAAAAGCACCAGATGCCACCAGCACTGTCAGAGCCACAAGCTGCCAGTGCTGCCCTGCTCAGCCCATTTCACCTCACAGAACTAAAGGCTCCTGAGCTGGCACAAGCACCTGGGGCAGTGCCAGCCTGCTCACCTAATCCCTTGGGAACAGCACGGTGCCTCCGCTCCCCAGAGCCTCACACAGCTTTAGCCCAGYTTTTCTGCTGAATTTCTTTACAACTTCTGTTAAGAGAGAAATTATTAGCAAAAGGCAACTCTTGGAATCTGAAAAACTGTGAATTTGGCAATCAGTCCATGTAAGGTCCCAGCAAGAGCCAGGCTCACAAACCTCGGTCTGTGATAAGACAGACCATTTTTTTCCTTCTTGAAGGATAAATAAACCAAAGCCATCCTGTTGTGGGAATGGGAKGTGGCTGACTCCAGAGCTTCAGCCAGGCATGACAGACAGAGAGGAGCACCTTTACTCGGTGTGTACTATATGTAAAGCACAACCTTGATGTGGAGGTGTCCTACCTTTGGGTGCTCTGTCGTGCCCCACGGCGCTTGTGGTAGGCAGCCCCAAGGAGGCTGAGGAGAGGCTGCTGTGGGGCTGCTGCAGCTCAGGGTTTAGTGGCAGGAGGATGRTGATGGAAGCAGAGCAGATGGTGAAGCTGGATGAAGCCTGTGCCTGTTCCACACTTACCTTCCTGCCTGGGAGAGCCACGCAGGGCCTGGAGCCGTCCCACACTCTGGAGTGAGAGCTGCACCCCAAACCCAAACCCAAACCCAAACCCAAACCCAAACCCAAACCCAAACCCAAACCCAAACCCAAACCCAACCCAGCCAAGGCAATGGCAGCAGTGTCACCGTGTCTGCAGTGCCTGCTCTGGCACCGGCCATGCCAAACCCTACTGGTGCCAACCCCAGGAAGGGCCCTGTCTGCCTTCAGGGCATGGGGGCTGCTCGGGATGGTGGCACTGGAAGTGTCTGGGGCTGTGGGAGGAGCAGGGGGTGAACAGGATGGTGGCCCTGGACTGGGAGGTCACTGGGGTGCTGTGAGGGAGCAGCAAACCCCAGCTCATCCACAGGGAGAGCCCAGAAACACGGGGAAATGGCTTCATCTACCCCAGATCTGAAACAGGCAATCTGCTTCATCTACCCCAGATCTGAAACAGGGGAATTGCCTCAGGTCCCTCAGATCTGAAACAGGGGAATTGGCTTCATCTACCCCAGATCTGAGCACGGGGAAATGGCTTCATCTACCCCAGATCTGAAACAGGGGAATCTGCTTCATCTACCCCAGATCTGAGCACAGGGAATCTGCTTCATCTACCTGAAATATCAAACAGGGGAATCTGCTTCATCTACCCCAGATCTGAGCATGGGGGAATCGGCTTCATCTACCCCAGATCTGAAACAGGGGAATTGGCTTCATCTACCCCAGATCTGAGCATGGGGGAATGGTCTCAGCTCCCTCAGATCTGAACACTCTGGAATCGCCTCAGCTCCCTCAGATCTGAGCACATCTCCACAGCACAAGGAGGGCAGGTTCTGTGGGAAAATGCTGCGGGGCCTGGCAGGAAGGAAATTCCCCCAGCGGAGCCGCCATCGYGCGAGGGCTCCGCCGTGGCAACTTCAGGGACTTCATAAATAACTCGGCTGTCCCCAGGGAGGCACTGCTAAGGTCACTGTTTTTTCCCTTGAACTTTCCAGATGAAGGAAGCAATAGCAGAAGCAACAGCACAGATTTGGCCGGAGATCAACTGTACTGACAACAGTCACAGGATTGAACTCAGAAGAAAAGTCCTTTGTGTGTGTTGGAGTTGTCACCAGATGGGCTGGGCAGCACTGGGGAGCTCTGCTCAAAAATATTGCACATGGGCAAAACCATCAGAGCAGGAACCAATGGCAGATGTAACCCACAGTCACCAACTCCACTGCTCAGACCGAGTTAAAAATGCAGGGCACGTGTTTGGTGCCCATTAAAAATTAAAATATTCAATTGTGTTCTTCAGCAAACTGCTGAGATTGAGAATAAGAAACAACTCTGATTAAAGATTAAGGATGGAGAGTCTATAAAACACTAATTACCACTGTACTTACAGGGAATTTGGCCTGTTGGGTTTAATAACTTCTAGTTCRAGATCACTCGAGTTCAGGCTGGGCTGGGGAGCGCTGTTGGAGTTGAGGAAGCTGTTCACGTTTGAAGAGATGACRGATTCCAGGCTGGAGTTGATGATGCTGTTCCTGCTCTCCTCTAAAAAACACCAAAATCCAAGAATCATCAGCTGCCACTGCAGACTAAGAAAGAGCAAAAGGCTGCAAAGGCATCGAGCATTCCCAAGAAACCCTGTCCTGTGCAAACAGGGACATCTCCCCAGAGCTCAGCTTGCTACAGACACATCTTACATTAAACCACAAGAAACACTCTTTGGCTCTTCTGGATTTAAGATGCAGCTACATTCAAATGAACACCATTTTTAGTAGAGAAACAGGCACTTTTCTCAAAGCATTAATACCTCACATTGTCAAGGGGATCCAAAATGCCACAACCTGAAAGAAATTGAAATGTAAACTATTTACAGGAATAGGTGACTGAAATCAGCTCCCAAGGGATGGAATGTTTGGRTGACAGAGCAGGAAACCCCTCAGATCAGCAACAGGACAGATCACCCAGTTAAAGCTGCTTCAGTCTTCAACACCAACTACTGTCCCTTTCCTGGCCAGGTCTGAAGGGGAATGGGATCAGTCTCTGCTCCATTTCAGCTCAGCACTTCTGCAATTCAGAGCAGCCATGGAGCAGAAGTTTGCCTTTGATCTGATGGGGAATGGGATGTGCTGGGGAAGTGCTGCCATTGCTCTGCTGACAGCCAGAGCTTCTCAGAGATCCCTGTTCCCTCCAGCACATCTGTGAGATCTCCCCATGTCTGTGTGACTGCAGCAGTGAGAAATGACAATATTGTGCATCTCAGAGAGCCCCACAGCACGGGCCCCCTCCTCAGCTCTGTGCCACATCACCCAAAATCCCATTAACTCATTTCCAGGAGACGCCTTTGCCGTAATTGCAGTTGTGAGAAGCAATTAGCAGCACTGATGGCACGAGAGCAGCCCCAGGCAGAGAGGGGCTGTTCCTGGGATGCTGATTTCCTCAAAGACAGGCACCAGCTGGAAAACACAGAGTCCTACTTCAAGGATTCACCTCTCCAAAATTATTTGTCCAGTGCACAATAACATGGTCAAACTACAACCAAAAAGCATGCAGTGATAGGGAATCCTAGCTCTCAATCCCTTGAAATTCCACCTCTTTTTGAATGAGGAGAAYGTGCAATATTAATTTGTATCCCGTGCACGTACAAAGAGTGCAAGAGGAACTCCTGGGTTGTGTGAAAGGTTAATCATGAGCACACAGCAGAGAGGAACTGCCTGTAAAACAGCCTGGCACGAGGCTTGTCTCTGCCACCACTCCAAAGGGAAAAGCCACATCAGCCAAAGGACTGGAGGTGCCCAATGCCTGATCCTTGTCCTGCTCCTTCTCTGGAGCTGCTGCATCCCCTGGGTACCTGGGCAGAATCAGCACCTACAGGACAGCAGGAAGGGCTCAGCTGAGGTCGAGCTCATCTTCCAGAGATGAGCCAAAGCCAAGGATGGGTGATGTTGATACACATCAACATGTTCCTGAAACTGGAKTTCATTAATCTTGGTCAGCCATGAGCCACCATGGGAACCAGCAGCACAGACAYTTCTCTGACTCAGCTGTGAAAGTTGAATCCTCTGGGCTCAGAGGGCACCAGCACCTTGTKGTGAAAAAGATGATCCATGCAGAAGACAAGGAGGGGAAAGTGAAGAAAAGCAGAGCACTGACCTCCACAAATACTGACAGGCAGATGTGGGAGCCAGCAGATGAAATAAGAGAGACATTAAGCTGTCTAAGGACCTAAAAACCCCAAATCCCTCTATTTTTGTGTCTGTCAGAGCAGGTTTTAGCCAAGCCCAGGGATTGCCTGTGCTGAGCTCAGCCGGTGCTGAGGCCCTGAGGAGCCCTGAGGGGCTCCTGACCTGAGCCCCCAGAGTGTACACTGACAGCAGCTTTATTTGCAAACATCTTGTGCCCAAGGCTGARGGCTGGGAATAAGCTCCCTAAGCTTGGCAGATCAGAGTGGATTGTCCCTCTAATCTCCACAGCAGCCAGGCCAGCACTGAGTTAGGAGCCACAGACTGGGAGTGCTTCAGCTGAAGGGGAAGGCAGATCAATGGCAGAGTCTGAAACTCTTGCTTTATTTTRTTTCCTCCTTTTTAAAAGGCTGAAAGTCTATTTTGCTTCATGCTTTTGAAAGCCTGTGTGAAGATTTCTTCACTGGGAAGTTTAATTGGTTTTACAGCTACAAGAGCAGAGCTGCCCATCAGCTCAAGAGCATYTCCAGCACACAGAGGGCAGAAGAGCCTTTCATCCCTTACCCAAACTTTGTATTTTCATTGGGAATTCAGTCAGGCAGAGCCACTGGAGCCTCAGCAGAGCCTTTGTGTCCAGTGTGCTCCTGATAACTGATCCAGGGCACTTTGGTGACAGTGACCCCAGGGACCAGAGTGGGGATGACAAAAGAACTGATAAGGAACAAAATGGTGTTTGCTGTAYTGGTGACACTTGTGTCACAAGAGCCACTCCCTGGGTCAGATCTGGACAAAAATGTAAATGTTTAACAATAAAATAATCACTATAATCATAGTTAATCATGATTATCTGATCTGCTCCCTGTCCATTGGACAAGATAATTTTTGACTTACACACAGCTTGGTATGATGAAGGCAAATGAAAATGTTAGAAAGATATTGGACTTTGATTAACGTATTTCAAGTATGGAAAATCCACTGTTCCATTTAATTTCTTTTAATGTCAAACTGCTCCCAGTCTTAAAAAAAGTGCACCCTGCTCCCATTTTGAATGTTTCTAGCTTTGATTTCAACTTTCAGTTTCCATGGTGCTCAGCTGGGCTTGAACTGCTGTCTAAGCCCTTGTGCTGCACCCTGACTTAGAGCCTTGGGCTGTCTCCAGACCAGTAAGAAAGCAAAGGAAGAAGAACAAGGAAAGGAAACTTCACATATTTCTCCAGTGACATGTGCAGCAGGGAAGGCAAACTCCGAACAAAACAGCGGTGGCTTCCCAAAATCACAGGAGGTTATAGACTGTCAGGAGGAAAAATGAGAAAACATTGCTTCACATGGGAATAAATAAACGCAGAAATAAAGAAATGAGCTGAGAAATAAAGAAATGAGGCCTCTCCCAGGCACGGGGACGGCGCATGGAGGCTCTGGCAGTCTGGAGGCTGGCAGGCCCCTGCTTAGTTAGCAGCAAATAAATTACTGGGGCTGAAAGTTTTCAAAAGCAGCGTTTGATATTTGAGGCTTCAGCGAGAGTCGTCCCACACCATTTCCAGAGCACGCTCTGGGGCCGCCGCTGCTTCCTCAAACCCACGCGGATCTTTCCGACAGCCTCCGAAAGGAGAGTGCCTGGTAATTAACAGTAACTCAATCAGACAAACCCACGTGTTTGGAGAGTCAGCAAAGTCCACAGCGAGCACTSTGTCCASCCTGGGGACTRTCCCCAGCCCTGCCCCGCTCCTGGCTCCACCTGTGCTTGTCCTGCTCACCCAGAGACTCTCCTGCTTTTTACCAAACTGGGAGAGCTCCCTGAGTGCAGCTGCCTGGCTCCAGGGGCACAGGGCAGGAAGGCCCAGAGAGCTGGGARCTGGGTTTGCTGTGTAACATGAAACAACAGCCTGAGCAGACACATTTCTGCCACCCCACCAGCGGGGCTGGGGCCTTGGCTCCGTCACCCAAATATCTGGAGCATCAATTAGTGACAGAAATGGAAAGATGAGCYCCAACATTTTTAAACTGCCATGGTACATAATCCTCAGGAAAATGCCGAACCTCCTGGCCGAGTTTTCCTGTCTGTAAAAGGCAAAGTGCCTGGGGGCATCCCAAAAGGGCCGCGCTGTGGGGACGCCGGCGGGTGGCCGCCCTGGCCACAGGTGTGGCACCCCAGTCCTGGCAGCTGATGGCAGCGATGACGGGTCCAGGAACATGAGAAGGGGACAYGCAGGGGCCCGTCAGGTGGGGAGGGGACAGCAATACTTTATCCCTGCTGAGGCAGCCTCATGTCGAGCCCTGGTTAAGGGCTTGGATGCCRGGAGAGATTCCACTCCCCACCAACGCAACAGCGGAGGAAACCGAAGCCTGACCCTGTTAYGGGATCATCCCTTCCACTGACAGCRGGAAAACTGCATGGGAATGGCACGGGAATGACAATCAGTTAGGGATGATTAGGGCARAGCTGGAGGGCACTCACGCTTCTCGTTGGGCTGGGCCGTGTGGAACAGCGTCAGCGGCCGCTCGCTGCACGAGGGAGGCTTCGACTCCGTGCTCTTCTTGCGGGATAACAGCAGCTGCGAGTTCGACGCTGGAGCCTCTGGCACCGTGTTAAATATCTGTTAAAAATAATAAACAAGYTGTTCTTTGGCATCACCCCGTGGAACAGGACAGCTGCCCACCTGCCTGGGCTGCACCGCTCCACAGCGCAGCCTCCAAGGATGACGGGCACTCAACAGGGCAACGTTTTGGGTACAGATCCCTAAATTCCACATTCCCACTCCATCTGCACTCCTCTTTTTTACCCAAGCTGTGAAGAGCCCTGACACTCTGGCATTCTGCTGAATTTTTGGAGGTGCAGGTGGTGATGAGCAGCCCAGACAGACCAGCCAGTGTCCCCTGTGTCCCYGCACAGCGTGACCCCGGCGCCCGCGCTCCCACGGCTGCAGACCAGCTTGGGAAAGTCTTTGCAACTTCCAGCCACAGCTGTCAGAAAACTGAGTAATCACATTTTTCTCAAGGGGATGAAATTTTAAAACTGCAGGAACCCAAACAGCAGCAGCCTTGYTGGTTGCTGATATTTGGTTATTTATGGTTCCTCTCCTGGACCCCCAGGCTCAGACAGGGACAGTGATCCCTCCAGAGCAGCTCTCTCAAAGTCTCCCTCCATCGCTGGAGTCCATTAAAYCCATTCCTCAGTGTCTTTCCTGCTCTACCTGCCCCTGCCAGACACACAACTGGCATGGCCAGGGTTTCCCAATAGGAAAAGCACATGTTGGCCCAGCTCTCTGTTCAAGAAAAACCTGGATGTGGACTTAGAGCCGTGATGCCACCCCAGCCAGGGCAAGCTGGTTTCTACTTCTGCCTTTGCCACCCAAATGCACAAATTTGTTACTCCTTTCCATTAAAACCAGACTAACAGAAGATCATAATCAGGGAGCGTCTGAATTTAGAAGAAAATGGTATTTTTTAGCTGATGCAGCCAGGGAGGGACAGCCAGGGAGGGACAGCCAGGGAGGGACAGCCAGGGAGGGACAGCCAGGACCACACGGCCCCACCGAGACACCACTGCTCCACTGATGGACCACAACATCCGTGGCCAACAAACACAAATGCATCAGGATCCAGAGCAGCACTGGGGATAAAGCCACTGCTTGGATAGATGCAGATTTAACCAGCCAAGCAGGAGCCAGCTGAGATGTGCACCTCACACTGGTTTCCTTTAGCGCTCACCTCTCTTGAAAACAAGGACAAATTCCCATTAAATAGTGGGAACAGAGGAGAAAGGGAATTTCTGTGATGGAGACACAGACATGCTGACTCACACTGGGCTGACCATAAACAAGGCTGGCTACCAGCAGCACTGCTTACACAACCACAGCCYAAACAGGAGGTGCCAGCTGCCCCCTGGCAGTGGCCACTGGCCATGGGAGACAGGGGGGCCTGGGAGAGGGGCTGCCATGGGCAAAGAAACACCAATTCCTTTCCAGAAACTTCTGACGTGAAAGGAGTGAGGGAAGCCGTTACCTTCTCATGGTTTTCTATTAAAATTTCAATCACAATGTTCTGGAATTTGATGTCCATAATGGCAGCGACTGTTTCCTCTTGAGGTCGAAGCAGCGTCGGCCCAAACACCACACCCAGATTAGCAACAGTCATCAGGTTCTGCTTGTGATTATCTGCAACTCTGGCAAAAAAAAAAAAAAAAAACCAAAAAAAAACCCAAAGAAAATGAAGTAGGTGATGGAACTAATCCACAGGGAACCCCCTCCCTGCCCTCCTTGCCTCGTGGCTGGCACACGGCTTACAACGCTGTTTACATTTTTCACGCTCCTGGTGAGCTCCTTGAAGGCTCAGCCATGTGGAAAAGTACAAATTTAACTGCTGTGTTCCTGCAGATCTTTCAGCCTCCATGAATTGACTAATCTCATAAAACCCCAACCCCACGCCGGCCACTGAGCCTCACGCTGCAAACCACTCCCAGGAAAACATCTTGAATCATTAATGCTTAAAACCCTTCTGAAAACAAATTGTTGGACCWCTGACACACGCTGCTCTCCAACTCAATGAGTGACCTCACATSTTCCAAGGCCAATTCCTTCCCAGCCATTCCAGCACCAGAGTCAGTCCCAGCCAGGCCAGCTGGGAGGCCAAGATGGGGCTTTGCCCTCTGATCCCCGTGCCCCA